GTATTATCACCGAAAATGATTTTCGTATAAGAGACGTGATAATAACAATTTGAAAAATAGCTGAAACAGGTATTGGAGTTATGAACGACGAGAAATTACACAAGTAAAATCTCAAGAAATACCTGTTCAGAAAATGTACTCGTTTCAGAAAATAGTTCCATTTCCGAAAACATTTATTTAAAAATTCTAGAGACTCCCCCTAAAAAACAGATTTAAGTAATGATTCAGTTAAGCTCAAAAGAATAAAAAAAAATTGAAGAAAACATTTTAAGTACGGATATTTATTTAAATCGACTAGATAGGTTGTCCGATTTAGAAAACCGGATGATTCGATGTACAAAAAGCTAAGTCCTAAATCGCTCAACTCTCTTGCTTAAATCGCACATGTATCCGCTCAAAGCTAAACCTAAATCGCTCATGTATCCGCTCAAGCCTAAGTCTTAATCCGCTCACAACTCAAACTAAATCACTCATGAATCTGTTTTAAATAGCACACAGAACACTCAAATGATGACCGTATACGATCAATCAAAAGTTACCTTATGTCCGAATTCGATCAAATTGAACTACCCTTGAGTCTAAATCGCTCAGAAATCCGTTCAAGAATAAACTCAAACCTGTGAGATTTAGGATTACTTACCTGTGAGCAAGTTGAAATTTGAGAATCAAGAACCAAATGAAATCAGTGAGCGATTAAGAATCCGGACACTTATCCGGTCAAGAGTTGTGCGAATCCGCTCAAGAATCCGTTCAAGTTGTGATCGATTTAATCTTGGAGGATGAATCTGTGAGATACCCTTATACGATGAATACTTCGCTTAATTTCTTGGTTGAACAAAGCGCATGAAATTCTGTCCGATTTAGAAATACGGATGGTTTTGTGCGATGAAGTTGGGCCTAAACAATTTAACACTAGTTGGGCCGGACAAACACAAAATAAAAAACATTAAAACTAAACAGGATCAAAAACACTAATTTAAAAAAAATTAAGAACACGAAAAATTTTAAAATTCACAAAAAAACACCAAAAACACGAAAAACAAAGATTAAAACGTAAATCTTTGTGTATAACAAAGATTCACGAAGAGATTACACACACTTTGATCCTAAAATTAACACCAAAACATAAAAAAATTTAAAAAAATTGGATCAAAATCAAAGAAAAATGAAAAACTTGAAGAACAAAAAATAAAGAACACATAAATTCCAGAAAAAATCTTCAAAAAATCTTCAAAAACACTGATTTCTTCTCTTGATTTCTTGCACACTCTGCTTTGATACCAATTGATAGTCCCACTACAATGATCAATCTTCAAGCAATCTTCATAACAATGGCAGATCTGGATCTAACACTCAAGAACATTCATAAGAGTTGAGAGAGAAAGTCAACAAATAATACTTGGTCAAACCCTTTATTACGTATATCAGAATTTACAAATGAGCTCTCTTACAACAATTACAAAGACATCACCCTATTTATAGGGTCAAACTTCTAAACATAATCAAAGTCAAACTTCTATAAGAAAAGTCAAACACGATGACTTTTACAATTATAGACAATATTTAACTTTCAAGACAAATACAATTTAATACTGATTTTCAGTCCTAACAAGGTTGGAAGCCTTAACCTCTAGCAAGGTTACCGTTGGCCCACGGGAGTAAAAAAGGAAGGTTGTAACACCAGCTTCAAATTCAGTATTTACAGATCTTAGGAAAAATAAAACAAAAAGAGAAAAGAATGCAAGTGAGTGATTTTGGGCGAAAGGTATCGGGTATGACTTTATTGTGCATTTACATCTACTCAATTTGTCTGCAGTTGTTCCTTATCATCAGCGGTGGCTATCTTTATTGATAGCAAAGGGATGTACTTACAGATGATTTAGGTTGGAGTTGGACTAGATTTTCATGCTGATACATATGGCTATTAAGAGGATTAATATTTTGATTTTTATGGATCATGGAGATGGCCATAGGCAAGTTGTTACTTTCATGAAATCAAGGGCTGCTAGTTTAGTTTATGCTCAATGGATGATGGCCCCAATGTTCATACTAGTGAAATTTTGGTTCTGATGACAAACAATGTCTTTATTGGTACATAATGTTTTTACTTCTATGTGATGATTAGTTGTATCTCTTTTCATCCCTACAAGTACTCGACCACTCCCCTCAACCGGTGACTCTAAAGAATCTACACCAAAAATCCACCGTATTTTGTTGCTTAATCTCCACTCTCTTTGGTCATAGATAAATTAATTGAAAGAGCTTATTTTCATCAAATAAATGTTTTCAGTAATGGTTACTTGTGATAATTATCAGAGCAGAAACTATGCACTTTGGTAACTTACTATGTACCTACACTTGATAGGACTGTATTTTCAAAATATCACTTTGTAGGCTGACAATTGTTATTAACTATCTCTTTATTTTTGTTGTAGATCTTTTCTTACTTTCAGTTTGTAATATGTTTCTTATTTCTTAATCATCATTGCTCTAAGATAGTATAGTAAAGTTAAGATTATTAGGGGTTTATAGGCTATTCAAAATTAGAGATGAGTTTTTTCTTTGTATAAACTCTTCCAATTCATCCTTGTGCAGATGTCAAACATTCGGATAATAGCCTAGCAAACTACAAAACTTGAAAAAGGCACACAAATTTAAGCAAGATATTAAGCACAACCAACACGCTAGACTTGACGAGTGATGAGCAAAACTCAATTTTATTTGTTTTGGTACTTCAATTACACCTATTCTCTATATGTTTCTTTCTATGTATTTAACTTTGCAGTGTAATCTTATTATGTGATTGTGAAGCGAACAAGAGGAGCTCCATTCATTCTTGGCTTGCATCTGCTAGAGAAGGATGTCAGTAGTTCATCTAAAGAGAAAAGAACTTATAGTATTGGTGTTTTTTTTTCTTTTGATTTTTTTAAATGTGTTGAATTAAGATTCCAATATTTCTTTTTTCGTCATTTATGTTTTCTATTTGTGTAAGCTGATCAACTGTACTTCACAAGCTTACTCCATCAATAGGCTTTGTAATTTGATTATTATAATATATATATATATATATATATATATATATTTGTAGATGTTTGTAAGACTCATTGGAGAACCTCTTGATCAAGATTATGATTGTTAATATCTTGAAATGTGAACATAATTAAGGTAAATTTCGGGTGAGTTAGACTCAGATAATTTTATGAAAAGGTTGTCTACAAAACGGAGCTTGTCTACTTTCCACTTTTTCTATCTATATGTCTAATGTCATTAGTTCAACCAATAAATATTATTGGATTACAAGTGATGTAGTTTTTATTTAAATTGTTGTGATGAGGTCGGTTTTTTTTGTTTTTTTTAGTTTTTATTTAAATTGTTGTGATGAGGTTTGTTGAATTTTTTTCATTCATCAATGATGAAGATACTTAGGTGCCGAAAATTATGTTGATTTTGAGTTATCATATCATGAATTATCTTATTAATTGGTGGGTATTAGAGATGGATTCATTTTCTAATCTATACTATATTATAAAATATTTGACTAAAACTCTTAAAAATAATTTTTATGCATAAAGTATAGTTTATTGATGCATATTACTTAAAATTCAAGATTACAAGTAGGATGTGCATGAGTACATCTTATTAAAGCTTCAAGTTTGAATTCGTGCAACTAACTACAGATAAACATAATCAAATACATGATAAACATCATTTTAAATATAAAAAATCTAAAATATAATTAAGATAATCATTGAATTCTAACAGATTATTTAGTTATTATCTTAAAAAATTATTTTATTAAACCAAAAATAAGTTAGTTCGTTTTTAAACTTCAATTAAATTATAATAAGAAAT